TTTTAGTTTAACGAGCCAATTTCGAGCCGGACACGAGCCGAACGCGAACACGAATATTTAAATCGAGCCGAACACGAACACACTGTTCACGAGCCGATTTCGAACACGAGCCAAGCCTGAGCCTGCTCAAACTTGGCTCGTTTACAGCCCTAGACAAAAGAAGAATTCCTCGAAGAACTCCCCAACACATTTGAATATGTATAATTGATGATTGACAGTCTTGAGTAGAATGCCAAGATTATCTTGTGGATGACAATAGCTAAAGGCTGCTTGGATTCGTCTATTGACGATTTACACAAATTGCAAAGATTCGGAGATGATGATGAGGGATCTTCTGATGATTAGGAGTACATATGTATATATACTCTGTGTCATTTTTATCGATTTTTAATTTACGAATAGACAATTTTGGTGCCATTATAGAAATTTTAACCAACTGATTGTTTGTCTTTTTTGAGTCATGTTTCAGTCTCGTCTTCGTGCATTTGGTCATCACTTTCCAGTAGGTCCGAGCTTTCATGAGGCGTATTAAGTGGATCTCGTCGCTATCCTCATGGGACACCCACTGAGACTCGCTCTAGAGGTAACTCTCACTCCATAAGCTATTCTTATTGAACAAAGGATGGGGTCAACCTACTAAAGCTGGACTTATGCGTGAATATTTGAATGTTATTCTTTGATGAATCCTACAGCCGCACAAGTCTTACTAACTCCTGGGTTAGGCTTTTGTATTCTCAATGTCAGCTGTCGCCTTAGGTGGATCAGGCTACCATGAGGGATAAATGGCGGATCTTGTTGCCGTCCTCATGTGGAACCCACCGAGACTCACCATAGAAATGACTCATTCTCTACTCACTACGACTTTTGCGCTGAGGAGGGAGCCAATTACCCAAGACCAGACATTTACTCAAGGAATTAGCCTTTATACCTCAGGGTTTTTTTTGTTGCATGGGCCCTAGGATTACTTTTTACGGTCCCAAAGGGGCATATGATATGACCTGCATGGTAACAGGGCAAATATGAACAAAATCTTATTCCAATACGATTTATCTAGGGAGTTGGGTTTGCTTAGTCATGTCGAGAATGAATGCTTGCTTCGTTATGTCATATCCAAATACAGGAAAAAGGTCAGTGTATGAGACTTTCTAGAGATTCTTCATATTAGGATTGTGGAAGCAATTACGAGACATGGACGAATCTTGTTCTGCTGAGGCTATAAAAGGAAATCCATTCTGGCCCTTCTGCTACACTGGAGGCTTGATATCAAGTCAATATTGGTTAATTGATTTTAGTTTTGCTGATAAGTTTGTTTAAGAAAAAGTGATGTTCAACTGGAGTGTGATGTTTGAATCACATTTTGTACTTTCAACGTGTTGAACACTGAACAAGGGGTTTCAATTCCTGTTGAATCTAGTTATTACTTTTGGATTCTAACGCGGAATGAACCTCTATACTTAGGAGTGGAGAAAACTCTCTTCCCTCCTGAATAACTTAAGGATTTTGGTTTATTGGGAAATTGGATTCGTCTCACTCTTGAATTCCGGTAGGGTGGTGCATCTTCTTACCATAAGCACAATATTGCGCTCCACCCTGCTGGGATTCTGCTTTCTCTTTTTCTCTCTCTTTCTTTGTAGTTCGTACTCGAGGGCTGAAGAACACTCATATCAGAGGAACTGCATATCCCAACAATCTTTTGTACCTGAATAGTTTTGGAAAGTGTGAACCTTCCTTCCTATGTGAAGAAAGAGTTCGAGGAAGGGAAGAGAATTTTGCCCTATGGAGTTGTGGCACACTCCCTCCCTTGAATTAAAGATCTACTTCGACATCCTAAGTCAAAAATTTCATCTCATGTAATGGAAAAGGAGAAGTATGATAGATTCTACCTCTGTACTTTACCGGGCCTCGACTTTACATTTTGTATGAAATTGAATAAAAGATCAATTCGTCATTATTCTTGAATAAATTTTAAATACTCTTGCTTAAGCTCTGATGCCAGCTATATCACGTGATTTGTGTTGCCAAATTAAATGGAAGCATTCATGCCAAATGTAAAATCCAATTCAGAGGGTTCTCGGAGTGTTCTGCATTTAGTCTTATTTCCATATTTTCTTTGGCTATTCTCGAGATCCTTAATCCAGACATTTTCCTTATATGCATTATTTTTGAGATTATAAAATGACATTCCTAACAGGCCTGTATGAATCAGCCCTGTACGTCTTATTGGAACATGTGTCTCATTTTGCCATTATTAGGAGTTTACGTACTTTAATACTCAATTATTATGATGGAGGTTTTTACAAAAAAAAGAAAAACTAGGGGTGTTTTAGTACTTTTCCCGCTTTATCCTGGCTATAAATAGGCCTGATCCTTTGCTTTCAGTTCAAACTTACAAGGAAATAGTTCAACAACACATCTACTATAGAAATGAAGGGAAGTTGTCCGTTTGTTCATAAAAAGTGGAAGACTTTGCTTGCCTTAGAGAATCGAAATGGCGAGCCTAATGAATATTTTGTATTAATCTTGTTCTCTATGCATGTTGAGTACCGAAGGCTGGGGCTCTCAGCGTGTTGAGTCCGAACATTCTCTTATTCGAAGTTAGCAAGGTGAGAGATCTCCAACCATAAATGGGGGATATTCACTTCCAATCAAGAAGTTCCAGGGGCACTGCATCTCTGAAGTGAATATTCCATCTATTTGTGGGATCCTACCAGAGGCAGGGAAAAGGTGTGAAAGTTTTGGTTGCTCAATCATTTTGCCCCTGCTTTCTTCAGCCACACAAACTTTTCGCCATCTTGGTGAGGAGCTGGCATGTGAAG